CCACTCCTTTGTTCCCCTGGCTTGGCCCTCTGGGCACGAGTTAACAGACATCCCCCAGTCCTATGCTGGCCTACCTAACAAAAGGTGAAGCTTTCTATTCCTGTAAAGAGTTAGAGACTCAGAAACCCTGTCCTAAAGGGTAAGTCAGAATTGACTCAATGGCAGTCAGATTTTGTTTTGGTTTTTGAGGAGCCCTGGTGGCATAGTGGGTTGTGTTTGGGGCTCTTAACCACAAGTTCAGCAGTTAGAACTGCCAGCGGTGTCAAGGAGAAAGATAATGCTTTCTGTTCCAATAAAGATTTATGGCATTTGAAATTCATCAGGGCTGCTCTGTTGGGATCTGTAGGGGTCTACGAGTTAGAACCCACTTGATGGTAGTGAGCTTTACGTTTGCTTGAATACGTGAAAGCCTGCAAAGCTCACTCAGTTCATAGAGTGTTGTTAACGAAAAGAAAACTTCATGTTGGAGAGGCTTTTTTAGCTTGACTATATTGAGTTTTTTTGTTCATACATTGTCCATTGATTTTTCAAAAGTGTGGGATGTTTCCTGGAAGCTGAATTCTAATATCTAATGATAGCTTTATATGTGAAGTATATTACGTGCTTTTATCTAATTAACTATATTTAGTTCTTGTAGTAGTTGTACTTGAAGAAGTCTGTTCTATAATCTGATAAAGAATAGTGATTTATCAGTTTATTTACTTAGCTGATGAAGTACCGTACTCTGGAAGAAGAAAACTAATCTCTTTTGTTCAAATAGTCCTACATGAAGTCCAAACAGCCAAAAGTATTACTCAACTGCCCTCAAGTTGACACTGACTCGTAGTGGCCCTTTAGGACAGGGCGCATACAGTTGCCTCGGCGTTTCTAACTCTAATCTTAACAGGAGTAGACAGTCTCATCTTTCTCCCAAGGAGCAGCTGATAGTTTTGAACCTGCTGTTGGCAGCCTAACACGTCCTTTATGCCGCTGAGCTATATTTAGTGACTTAAATCCCTAGCATTATACTAAAGCCTACATTATCCCATTTGATTCCAAAATAACCTTATGTATGAGTGGGCTACCATTTAAACCTCATAAGGTTTCTTTCTAATCTTTCAAACACCTGTTTTCAATTTGATTCCATATAGACCGGTATTAAATTTGAACATACAATAATTCATGAGACATGTTCAAGATCTAGAGCTAATAAAATACTCAAGTTAAAACGGAAATCTTTCTGATTAAACCAAAATTTACCCACTATTTATGTGACATTAAATAGATCCTGTAGTTTGGAATAGTCCATTAGTTTTACTTGATCTAATTTTCTTTTGCTTCCAATACTTCATTACTAACTGTACAGTTTATACAATTTGTCCATGGGTTAGTGTCTTGTTTTTTAGTATAATGCGTGGTCATTCTTTTTAAATTTGGTTTTGAAAATTTTATGAGTCATCGTGACGTTTTACTTGAATGTTAAGTTTGTACCAAATAGAAGTTTGTCTATGAAAAGGTTCGCATAATGAATAATTATTTTATACAGTTATAGGACTGTTTACTTCATAATTTTCGCAATAGAGGCCAGATAATTTCTACAATGTCATAAAAACTTATAGGAGAAATGAGAAAAACAGTATTTTTGTACCTTCAACAACAGACTTCGTTAAATATCATAAGCTTACAAATTCTGAAATGTTTAGTGCATTGGTAGTTTTTAATTTTTTAGAGTTGAAAAAGATAAGTTTCTTTTATGTTGACAATATACATACTAAAACATAACACCAATAGTTTCTACATGTAAGATTTAATGACACTGATAACATTCTTGAAGTTATACAACTATTTGCATCCCCTCACTGTCAAAATCCTTGCCCCCACAAAGTTTCTAATTTTTTAAATATCTATTGTAAATTTACCTCGTATAGACCAAATATAGCATAATCCTCAGATAGTCTTTACTATTTAAATGTTTGATTTTAGGATGACTTCAGGGCATATTTTTGACATAAGAAGAAAAATATTTTATTCTAGGTAACTGAGTATACTTTGATACAACACCAAAGCTTGACAAATGATAGTTTCTTCAAGATTAGTCAAAATGACTCATACCACATCATTAAACTTTTTGTACTATTACATTAAAATTAACTGAACTCATGCACTTATAATGGATTGTTAGTGAAGTCATTTGCAAGATGTTGATTCACCAAGTAATATAAATGTTGGCATTTGACATTATAGAATAGCAAAAACTTCACATCTTAGGAGAGACGTAGCAAGAAAGTGTTCAACATCACCCTAATTTTTGCATAGTAGCTTGCATTTTTTTCATGACAAGCGCTACCACTTCATTTGAAGTAACAAACACTATTGGAAAAATTCTGCCAAATGCTTAAGTTGAAGTAGCCATAGCTTATCCGATTAGTTATTCTTCCAAATGAAAATGGCCTGTGAAAAAATCAAGTAGGCCAACTCGCAACTCAATCCCACAGGTGTCTTTCTTTCTTTCTCTCTTTCTTTCTTTCATAAATCATTAGGGGCTCATAGAACTCTTATGACAATCCATACATACATCAATTGTGTAAAGCACATTTGTACATTCATTGCCCTCATCATTCTCAAAACATT